TTTTTTTTTTTCGGTCCCTTCTTGTGTCCTTCTCAAGCCGTTGACGGTGTGGTAAGCACTCGCTTTTGTTTGCGCTTGGGAAACATTTTCCATTCCGAATCGACTTGTACATATTGGGCGTGTGTGGAAAATAAAAACATCAATGTCAATTGCTACCGACAAATATAATACGTGGGGGTATAAGTATACACACAAATTTTTTGTAACATTTTAACTTCAGTGAAGAATTTACACCTATTGAAGGGAATCTCGGGGGTTAAAAGCTCGCCTGACCTGCGTATAAAAAATTATTATTATTATTATTAAAGACAAAAGGGGAAGAAGAGTTACAAAAAAAGTCGACAAAATACGGCCAACGGAGTAAACGCAGATGCGAAAAAGCGATGCCGAGGTATATATACGTACGATACAGCACACATGGGGTATATAAATATACCGCAGTTTTTAAAAGCCGATTCTCGGTACGGGGGATAATTAAGCTCACGCAGAGTTAATTAAGTTCACGGTCAAGTTATAAGTATAGCCGGCTTCTCTTCGTGCTTTGCTACAATATGCTGCATCTCCTCTTCGTTCCCGAGTACCACCCCGTAATACTGCTATTGCTACTTACGTCGGATAAATTGATCGTTTGTTACGTGCAAAGTGGACTTTTCGACTAATCCCTCTTGCGCACGCACACCCAGCCGATAACTTTTTTTTTTTTTTTTTCGTTTTCGAGTGCAAACGAATTCTTATCTCGTGATAGTCGTGATTCAATAATGTCACCATCAGTGGTACAATTAATGATACGGGCAGTTGTTTTTCGCGATATTATACACGATTGTGAGATATAATGCAGGGAACGCATCAGCCGTGAAAGTCCAAGCTCGAGAGTGCCAGAGCACGTGAATCGCGAAAGCTCTCGTGGATGGTGCAGCGTCGCGATTCGATGGTGCATCACAGTACCTACCCATTGTATGGGAAAAAAAATAGAGTATGCGAGCGAAGGGAAAGAAAGTGAACCATACGCACGCATCGGTGTGTAAGAAAGAGGTGAGTAGCGGCCAAGTATATATACACATGTAGGCGAACGAGTCGTGGGCGTGAGAAAGGCACGGGGGACAGATGTATACAGATATACGCGCGACAGGAGCGCAGTCGAGCGAGCGCAAGAACCACCAATTAACACCAATTAACATTCATCTGCCGCCACCTCGCTGTCTGCGTATGTATAGTTATACAGCAGACACACGTGTAAGTGTCAACGCGTACATGTTGGGTATACACGGCTGCCTGGTACACTCTCTCCAGAGCCCAGTTTACGGAACCAATAGAGCAGGAGGGGGTGGTGGTGTACTTTGTGCATCCAGTCGTTCGATTACTCCCGTAATCTCGAAAATCTCGGCGTCCCCGTGTACTTGTCCTCTGGTCTTACGTGCCGATCCCTGCAGGTACCGTTTTTTTGTCCCCTTTTTGCAACTTTCCACGGCTTCCTGCCGCCGGCGGCGCTCGTAGGCGTGAACGCCTCGTTATGACACGCGCTTCCTTTTCGCAAGGAGGAATGTCACGCAACAACGCACCCGCGCCGATGTACCGATACAAAGATGTCCTTGTCGACTTTTTTCTTTGCTTTTTTTTTTTCCTTCACGTGGTCGCTCGTAAAAAAAAAAAAAAAAAAAAAAAAATGTCCAAGCGAAGGTTGCCTCACTTTTTTCCCGCTCCTTCGTTTCTCTCGCCGGCGTCTTTCGAAAGTAGGTTTTTGCACGGGCGTCGGAAAAATCGTGTAGTGCTTTTGCCAATTTTCTAGCCGCCTCGAATTGTCCGAGCGCTAACGAGAGCTCTGGAACCGTGAATTTTACCGCCAATGCGTCGCGTGTGTACAATCATGTATTGCGTTCATTAAAAAAAAAAAAAAAAAAAAAAAAAAAAAAAAAAAAAAAAAAAAAAAAAAAAAAAAAAATAAATCTACTTTCTAAAGTTTCCGCGAGTGGGTGATTGATTAGAATAAAACCGTGGGTCCACGCAATGCACACAAACTTTGACAGAGTAACGAATCATCGTCGTAAATTGTGAACGAGACGGATCAAAATCACCGCCCCGAAGGAGAAGAAAAAAGAAAGAAAGAAAAGAAAACTATTATTCATCGCCTCCCGTTACGGGTACGATTTAATAACACCTCGGATCCCACACTGGCCGCAACAGCCAGGACTACAGTTATACACTAATCGATTAAACACGCGGACGGACAGGCAGAGCCCGAATCTCTATTTCCATCGCGCAATGGACCCCGTATGACAATGACTTTATTTTTACATCTCATCCTCTATGTGTACCGTACACCAGACACCCGATCAAAGATCTCCAAGGAGAAGGGACATCGTGGATGAAAGGTAGAACAATATCGTTCCACGAGCATATAGCTTCTGAGCTGGAGTAGAAAAAAAAAAAGAAACGTACAAATACTATGGAGATGCCGCGCACGAACAAAGGCCCGCGGCAGCCACTTGTGTAATTATTCCAGAGTATCCGATGATGGAACACAACCACGTTCGGCCACCGCAAGCGTCCCGTGTACACATAATCGACGCGAGCTAGCCCCCTCACGATTTGGTTTAGAATTCGTTGCATCTCTCGGAGGAGCTCTCGTCACGCACGACGTGCGCCCGATCGGTAATGATCGGTTGTTTTGTAACTCCTTTTTTCTCGCTGCTTCCCGACGCGTAGGGCAACAGCTAACGATGTAACGCGCTCCAAGGGAGGCCGGAACGCTGCTACTTGCTGCTGCGGTTGGTCAAACCATTTTCGACAACCTCGGGGCTCTCTGCTACCGATCTTGGATCTGTTGCGGATGCATCGTCTTTGGAAAGCCTATACGCGGGTCGTTGCGGAAAAAAAAATCTCGACCGCGCGCAAGATGAGTCGTCCATTAGGATATCTGGCTGTGGGTCAACGATTGAACTAGATTGAGCCTAATTTTGTTTTTTGATTGCTAATCAACCGCATACGTAGCACGATGACGTCCCGACATTGTTGGGATCGGTATGGAAAAAAAAGACGCTGATGGTCGTACAGCGTGAATTAAATCCGGGCGTATGAAAACCTCGAGACCGTGTATAATTAATTATACGCTGTACCACACACGGTAATTTATTTACGTGTACTTTGAAACCGCGGGATCGAGAGCAGATAACAAAACCCTCGTTGTTTAACGGTATATCGTCGCCGCGGTGCGCACACAAGTTGTATCCACATTATGTACACGTATACGCGCAAATCATCGATAAACGATACGGAAGCGGGCAATGATGCTCCGTAGCCGCGCAGAAAAACCGCAACAACAACGCCGCCGATAGTCCCGAAGTGGTGTATAAACAGACAACGCGTATGAGAATGCAAAAAAAAAAAAAAAAAAAAAAAAAAAAAAAAAAAAAGGATCGAGGATGAGAAGCGTTGGCCGTACCCACTCGATGGACCGGGTTGTAATCTCTCGCGAGAGAGTTTGCGCTGTTTAACGCTCGAGCCTCTGCTTGCGTTATATTTGCGAGCCGTGTGTGGTAGCCTAATCAGTTATGCCCAGATAAAATCACGTGAGCCTCCCGCTGCGTCCGAACGATGGTGCCTATGCATACGCGGCTCCTCGCCTCTCGTTTAACGATTTGGTAGGAGAAGTGGCTCCCGAGCTAATCAGAGAATTCTCGCGGTTATGACCACGCGGGCCTTTTTCCCCCCAATAGCCGATACTCGAGTTCGCAAAGGGTATAAGCGAATTACTTTTCATTGCAGTACATTTTTTTCTTTTTCCTTTGGGATTATTAAATTATAATAAGAATTTTTTTTTTGTTTTGCTTCAACGAGCAAACAATTAACGCGTACGGTCGAGTATCGGGGATGATTTGCTTTCGCAAATTCCGCGAACGAGACCTTGGCGCGAGCGGTGCCGTCGCAATTAGCAAACGTCGACGCTCGAGCATGCAAATTAACGGAGGGCCGGCGGCGTACTTTTAGATCCAATTTGCATGATTAAGATTAAAACAAAGCGTGGGTTGGGCGAGTACACTCGGGTGATCCGCCTCCGTCTGTGCTGCATCTCTCTTTGGACGCGTAGCATCCGGCCGCCCTGGCATTGTGCGCTTACGTGTCCGAAAGAAATTCGTAACGCGCACGTACGATGAAAAATGAATCACGCGGTGAGCCAAGAGAGAGAGAGAGGAAAAATAAATAAACACGACTCGACAGTTTTTTTCGTTCCAGAGCGCTGCTGCAAAGTGGCATACAAGATCGGATCTTCGCGTGTACGCGTAACTATGAAGATCAAGATATCGAGAGAGAGAGAGAGAGAGGACGTTCTGATTTATGAAACTAAATCGTGTGTCCGGCGAAGCGGAGCAAGAGGGAAAAAGAAAATACCTCGGCCGTCAGTTCGATTGTAGATTGATCGATTGATCGCGTACGGGGTACATGTCGATCGATCGGCGCACGGGCTTCTTTTTCACGCACATGTACTCATAGGTACTCCGTGTATATATATACCCTTGCGCGCATTCCATGCTACTCGCGTGCTCGCGTTTTTAAGACTCACTAAACTTTTATCCATATGATATTACGGCGTTATCCTTTTTTCTAGCCTCTCCCACCTCCTGCCACCTTATTTTCTTTGTAACTCTTGGCCTCGTTACTGAATTGAGAAACCCTCGTTAATCATCGCGGGGAGACAAACCCGGCCCTCTTTTGTGAGTCGCGTAATGTCGCATCGGGTATAGGCACAATCCTTGCACAATAACCCACAGTCTCGTTAAACTCCTCACCTGTGGTTACGTTAAAACAGAAAAAAAAAAAAATCACGAAATCTACTCGTAAAGGTTAATGAAGTCGTCGGCAGTACGACTCACCGGCCACGAAGATTGCGTCTGACCATACATTGATTAATCTACTTAAACGAATTTTGAGACGTAAATTAAAAAATAAAATAAACTGAATAATGATCTTTATGAACTATATTTTTGTTTTCTTCTCGTCAACAGAGACAATTCACGCTGATACTGCAAGCAAGGGACGAAGGGAGCGGCGGGGTGATCGAGGAGGCGAGCTACAGCGGCATCGTCCTGCCGGGCTCGACCTGGCACACGCTCAACCACCAGGGCAGAAACGCCCATCTGGCCTACAGGGTGCGGGTCCAGTGCGCCGAGCACTACTACAACGCGACGTGCACAAAGTTTTGTAGGCCCCGCAACGATATATTCGGCCACTACACCTGCGACGAGAACGGGGACAAGGTGTGCATTCAGGGCTGGAAGGGCGCGGACTGCGAGACTGGTGAGTTTGCTTTTTTTCTTTTTTTTTTTTTTTCACTCCATCGGCGAAAGAAAAGTGCATTCAATGTTTAGAGAGAGAAAAAAACAACAACATTGTTTCGTAGAGTTGCAAAAAGTGATCATAAATAACCATTGATATTCAAGGCCCGCGATGTAATATTCCATGTCGAAATATGATAAACAGTACTTACACGCGTGCAGCGCCGAAGCTGCTCTTCTAAACAAACTTAATTGCCTTGGCCACGTCAACATCGAGACGGGCATGGCAGAAGGCAAAAAAAGGATTTATAAAACAAAAGAAAAAAAAACAAAAAAATGATGCCGCAAAACATTGACTGACAGGAGGATAGCGAGAGGGACGCGTGGAGTATAGGATGGACAGAAATATGGCAGCACAATAATAACAGTAATGGTCAGCTCCTCTCTCTCTCGCTTTCGTGCAGCGAGCAAGTAAAAAAATTCTCACGATAAAAAAAAGAGCACCAGCAGAGAGAGAAAGAGAAAAGAAGTCACCGAGCCAATGCTCAAGTCGTTCTTGGTATATACATATACGGAGTAGCCGCTCGTTCCTTTCTCTCATTCTCCGTCTATATAAACTATCTCTGTATATCCATACGAGTGTATAATATACATCACAATACACACACACACACACCTAATCGGCCTGTCTCGTCTAATTACGCTACACTAGGATGCGTTTTGCAGATTCACGTCTCGCGCGCGTTCCCAGCAGCTTCTCCTTAATCCTCTAGTTTTTTTTTTCTTTCTCTTTCCTTCATCTCCCTTCGTCTCGCTTATAGAACGGGTAAAGAGACGAAGGAATGAAAAAAAAAAAAAAAAAAAAAAAAAAAAAAAAAAAAAAAAANAAAAAAAAAAAAAAAAAAAAAAAAAAAAAAAAAAAAAAAAGAAAAGTTCGAGTCAGCGATCCCGTTTCGTAATGGGATTCAATTTCACAGAGCGCACGCGCGTATAATACTTATACGCCCGATGATTAATTTTCGATACCCTACCGCGCATAATGAGTCCGCGCCGCGTGCAGTCTGCCGCGGTACTTTTTGCCACGTCTGCAGGGCCATATAACAACAACAACTGGTCAAGTTTACGGCACGAGAAGAGGAGGAAGCTGCGCACGTGAACCGCGCCATTTATTGGCCGAACTTTGGTCCCAAGCTCCAAAATGAATTATCGTGAATTATTGTTATCGTCTCTTTGTCCGTACCTGAGCTGGTTACACGCATGTGGATTTTTGCCATTAATACAGAGCGCTTGATCGGCAATCACGACTTTTAAAATTCATTATTAACAACAACCACTCGCTTTTCGTTATTTGATTTTTGTTTAAACGGGGTACGTGACGCGTACAGGTATACGTATAACTTTGAATTGTATCGAGAGGCGCTGAATTCACGCATTGTAATGTGCATGGGTATACTTACCTACGTGTACGAGCGAAAAAAAAAAAAAAAAAAAAAAAAAAAAAAAAAAAAAANAAAAAAAAAAAAAAAAAAAAAAAAAAAAAAAAAAAAAAAAAAAAAAAAAAAAAAAAAAGATTGTAGAGCAACAAGACAGCGAGGCCTTTTTAATTATTGCGTAAACAGCGAAGCGCACCTTTTTTTTAAACAAATTAACGATGTTGCGAGCCCGAGGGGCTATGGAAATTTTACTGGAGCGCGAGCGAGCGCCTTAAAAATTATGCAAATCGCTGTCGAGTTGAAGCGTTAACGGTGCCAAGGGCTGGTTTTTATTTTGCTACCCGGTGTGATTTTTGACAAGGCTTAAAATGAATTTATTCATAATAAACATTTTTCTCGTAAAATATTATTTAAAAAAAGGTGTATCTTAATAATTTTAAATGCAAAGAAAAAAAAACATATACGGTAATCATTAGATTCAATGCGAGAATTCGGCACTTTTCACCAGACAACCCTTTATTTTTCTTTATCATACATATCATAGATCTCCTTCTCCCTCGAGCGCCGTAAATACACAAGTACGACACAAATGACGCACAAAACGTTCCGAAGCCCCTCGTCCCAGCAGCCGATCTCTTCATGTCTCCTCTATCCCTCTGAAACTCCTCTTTGGATGTGTATACATGTACACGCTCGAACCATTGATTTAATGCGGCGCGGGGTCTAATGAGCCCGGAAAGCTGCCGGTCACCGCTGGCCATCAATTTACCTCGACGCCCATCTTTGTCAAGAGTCCCAAAGGAGAAGAAGAGGAGGAGACCTACGTGTATATACATATATACACGTATGAGAATACAAAATAAAGTATATAGCACGGGATGACAAAAAAAAGGGCCCAATGGTGTTATAGGTTGCGAGCGCGTGTTTGCCTGAGGCGCGCCGATAAGAGTGGCACAAATTTACGGGACTGCCCGAAATAGCCTGCTGCTGCCGCGCGCGCGGATTTATTGTAATTGAGAGTATATCCACCTAAGTAGCGCTACTTGTGGTCACGATGTGTGTGCATTGGTATATAGGGATGATAGTCTATGTAGCTCTTCTCCCAAAGCTGCAGTATATATATACAATATGTAGTTGGTACACTCTATATAGGGGGAGAGAGGATGGGGCAATTGGCACGCTACTCTGAAACTTTGTTCGTTGTGTAATTCATCTTAAGTTTTTTTTTTTTTTTTTTTTTTTTTTTTTTTTAATTTTATCATATGCATCTTTTTTTTCGCTACAAAATAATTGGCGGAGGTTTGTTAAGAGGCTTACGTAAAAAAGCGCGAGTCGTACACGATGCTTCTCTAATATTTATCGAAAGTTTTTGGCGAGTACGAATGTACACAGGAGACTTTCTCAATTAAATCGAGGATCGCACGGGCGCACCAGGACCGCGCAGTTCTCACGCTCGCGAGTGCCATCAGCTATTGGAAAAACTACTTTTCGCGCGCTCCGAGAAACTCTACAGATGCAAATACGTACACGTGTACGTGTAATTACATAATTAATCCAATCGACCTTTTTTTTTTTCGATTGTCGAGAAAATTCTTCATTTCAAAGCTACTGTACATGTTATCCACACTTGTAAATGCATACCCGCGTTTATACGCGATTCTCGTACGAAAGAGAGATATCTAAATAGCACGACGTTTGACACTTGAAAAGCAAAAGCTCAAAATGTTATTGTCTTTGCTCGTATATTTTCTTCGAGCGAAGCGGATAAAATTATACATCGCCATCAATTTCCACGGGTGAAAATCGGCGCCTATATATTATGTATACTGAGATTTTTCAAAAGCTCGTCTCACTCTCCCTTTTCCTTCCATCGTCGAAAAATCTCGCGTATCTGCACGTATAAATGCATGAATATGTCCACACGTGGATGCAAAGATTCTTGTTCCCGAAGCGAGGAGCAAACAGAGGCTTGCACAGACAGCATCGCGAAACCGCAGAGAACGGCGGCAGGCAATCGCGCACCGCGGTCGCCTCTTTCTCCCTCAGCCTTGTCTGTCTCTCTGCAGCTTATAAGTGTCCGCGCGTGTATGTGTGTGTGTGTGTGTGTGTGTTCTTACATACACGTATATATACACATGCAGGTCGGATCCTTTGCACACACGGCCTATAGCTCACAGGCTTTTGCCTCTCGATTGTGCGATGTGCTTTATACATATATAAAGCGCAGGTTCGTGCGCCGGGAGGCATCCAGTTTCTCGCGAGAGAGCGAAGAAAGTCAAGCCGAAGGAGCAGCTCTCGTGATCCACCTCCTCCTCTCTCTCTCTCTCGCGGGATGCCAGGAGTGTATATACATATATATATATATATAGGCACCCTCGGTGATGCTGCCGCGGCCGCGAGACGTTCCCTTCTCTCGCTGTCCCTCTTCTTTCCTCTCCGCTCCCGGCGCGGGCTATCTATCTGTNTTTTTTTTTTGTTTTTTTTTTTTTTTTTTTTTTTTTTTTTTTTTTTTTTTTTTTTTTTTTTTTTTTTTTTTTTTGTTAAAGTGTTATTGACGCGATTCAGTTTTACGGCCAGAAGACGAAGCGCTTCTAGTAAGTTTTACAGTACAGGGCACGAAGTTTTTCTTTATACTTTATTCCCTTGATTTCGTATAGTGGCGCTGTGAATGAGCCATATTTACAAGTATAAAACATGAAACTCTGTGGTAAAAGCATAATAGCGATCGGTTTTACGAAAGAAACCGATTTTTGAGCTCAATCATGATTTCTTTTTTGCGACAAAAAGCTGATGTTACGATTGATAATTTTACATTCCCATTTTGAGGGGTAGCCTCTCAGGTACACCCATATCCGTTTGCTCTTCAACTCACGCCCATCTGCAGAGCTTGTACCAGCGAAAGTGTCGCGTTGTAACACTTCTCTGTACCGCGTCGTGTGATACAAGTAGCTATTATACTTATACCTATACGTGCCTCGCCACAAGAGGAGGAGGCGCGTGTGATCCCTGTAACCTCGGGGAGCTTCGGAAGAAGAAGCTCACGTACAGACATACACACGCGTCTAACGGGTGCGTGTACATACATACGTATACATACATACATACCTAAACGCATATCGGACACACATTGTCACACGCAGCTGACGTATGCCATCATATATTATGGGTACGTAGCAACGTGTGTGTCTTTTTCTCTCCGACTCTCCTCTTTCACACGTACTTACGTCGTGTATACAATAATAGGTCTGGCTGCTGATTGCGGGTAATATAACATCTCTCTGCGACTATATATTTATGTGTGTATAATGCCAGGCGTCACACTCGTCTAATCGTTACTTCCGCCTGCATGGCCTGCCTCTCTCTATCTCTGCGCATCTCTCATCTCTCGGCCAAGTGCACCGCGGCGACGATCTTTTTTCGCGGTCACCGGTACTTTACTCCCTTTCTCTCGCCCGTGCTCGTCTTTTCTTTCACGGTTCTCGTCCTTTTTTTTTTTTTTTTTTTTTTTTTTTTCTCTTCACCTTCCCCCCGGCAAGTGTCTCTATATTTATATCCTCAGCTCTGGAGATCGTAAAGCGCGTCTCTTATT